ATGTATTACAGTTTTTAGGTGAGTCAAATTATGTATATTAAAAATATAATCTAATGTGTTTAATTAAATTATATGACTATGCTATAACTATTTAATAAATAATAATAATAATAAATATTTAGTTAACACTGCTACAGATTATAAATACTATTTGATATAATATTTATAAACTAATAGATCTAATTGAAATGATTAAATTCTGGTAGTTAAATTGTACAATTATTATAATATACCTAACTACTCTTTTTGATATTATTTATATGGATAGGTTTGATCGTTTGATGTAGTAGATATTTAATATATAACTTAACGTATTTAAATATTACTATACTTATTAAACTATTTAATAAATAATAATAATAAATATTTAATTTACACTTGATTTTATCCAACGCACATATATGTTTCCTTTATACTTCAATAAACAATAGTGCAAGTACAATTTAACTACTAACCTAGGTACATGTATACTTTGTAGTAGGTACCTACTTAATATATCACAGTTTGGTTGAGGTACGATACAAATACTGCTGCAGATAGTATATAATACTCTGATAGTTAAATTGTATTTGACATAATTTGTTATTGCTCAAAATATAGGTAGGTCTATAGTGTATATTAATTTAATTATGAGTTTCAAATTAATAAATTATGAATAACAAATTGATATATATATACATTATGTACTATTTATTATATAGATGTATGTTTATACCTAATGATATATTTATATAATTTAAGCATAATATTATGTATGTACAAAGTGAAATCAGTACATATTTTGGTCCATTGGTCCAAAAGTTTAGATGAAGTACTATTTACTATTAATTATATCATTGGTATTGGTTGGTATTGGTTGGTATATAAAATATGTCTTTTTCTAATAGTTTGCATTGTGTGTTAAACGGTATAGTGTTATAATATATGAACTGGGCATATTGTTATATGTAAAAATTTAATTAGAAGAAGTAATAGTGAAATTGGTAAATAAGGTAGTTGGTCATAGGTTAGTACTCCATGAGTAGGTAGGTACATAACATTGATAGACTAATAGAGAGTAACTAAGTATTGGAAACAGAGGATTTCACTTCTAAGTATATAATAACAAATTATAAATATATATATATATATATATATATATATATATAATATACTATGTAGTAGGTACTAAATTTTTAGGTGATATTAAAAATATGAATTATATGAATTTAGTCATATCATATGACTATACTATAAGTATTTAATAAATATTTATTTATAATAAGTATTTAGTTAATACTTGACACATTTACCATGAACAACGCACCTATATTTTTCAAATAGTATATAATACTCTGATGGTTCAATTGTATAATGATATGACATAATTTGATATTACTCAATATAATATAGGTCTATGGTCTATCACGTATATTTATTTATTTATTTAATATCAAATGTAATAATTTATGAATAATAAATTGATATATATATTATGTACCTACATAATATGACTAATGTATTTTATAGATGTACCTATGTATATACATAATAGTATAGTTATATAATTTAAGCATATTATATGTATGTACATGAATTAATAGTGATATTAGTATACATTTTCGTTCATTGGGCCAAAAATATAAATAAAGTACCTACACATAATATTATAAAAATTATTTCAGTTAACATATTATTGGTACCTATATAGTAAGTAGATGAATTGATAGTGAAATAAAATTAGTAAATAAAGTAGTTGGGCACAGGTACTCCAATGGTATATAATATACTATGTAGTAGGTACTTAATGTATTACAGTTTTTAGGTGAGTCAAATTATGTAGGTATATCAATAAACAAAATATAACTTAATGTATTTAATTAAATTCTGGCAGGTAAATTGTATAATGATATGACTAAACTATACGATACTGTCTACATAATATGCCCGTTAATATACGCGACATTATGCGAGTGGGCCGCGGAGTGGGATGGAGTGAGTGCGGGGGGGGAAACTTTGTCGACGCGAAGCGCGCCCGTTTCGACCTGCCTCTTGTGATCGGCGCTCGTACAACGCACATCGACTCTCACGGAAAAGCCAAATACGTTTCGTGTTATTTAACATTCACTGTTTTTCTTTGAGTTTAATTGTCTTTTGGGCGCTTTTCACATACCCGGTGAGTACAACTTCTATAATAATATCTACTACTATATAATATTCAGATAAACTACTGATTCTATATGTTTGCACCAGCTACAGACATCATGGCGCGTTTCGTGTTTTTTTCGTACACCGCAAATGTACTTTGAATACCTATAACTTTTTTATATCCGCATTCGTATTAGTTGTGTATTATCCAGTCGCTGTAGTCGATGTTTAAGTCCGTTGGCTGTTTCTTCGCGTTACGATTGCGGTACCTACGTGTTTTATCGCTTTACATTTTGCGTTAACACTTAACAGTTAATTGTGCAATTACGAGCTGGGTATGTCATTTTTCGTATTTTTCTATTTTTTATGTACATCACGTAAGCCGGTGTGTACCTATTAATTCTAAAAATAACACGCGAGTCTCATACCTCACCGCTGATAACAATAACTGATACCTACAACAGACAACAGTCGTTGTATTCGATTGCAACGTTTTTTTTTTATGACGAGTTTTTCATATTTAGTATTCACTTTTTACTTATTATTACTATAACCTGTTCGTGATGTTTTTAGGCTATTCAAAATGGTCAAACGATGTGTGCTATGCGGAATTGTGGAGAAAACATTATCGATGTTTCCGTACACAAGTAATTCACCCAACACGTACCAATACCTACTTATCAATATATTATAATAAATTATGTGTCGCCTTAGATTTCCAACTGCCGTATACCGTATACAGTTACTGTTGGCGCGACTTTTAACAAACGTTTACATAATACGGGAGACATTGGTTCTAACACCATGTTGGTGCGTGGAAACAAAACCACAACCAGCTGACCGAGTTCCGTTTCCATATCGTTGCGCCTTCGGCAATGCAACGCTGAAATTCTTGATGGAAATACAGTATGTTATTATTTCAGGACACCTTCATTTATTCGTAAGTGATTACGGGCCTTATCAGTAATTTTTGGGCACGGTAAAAATACTATTTTCATTTTCGACCCGGCTCCGGAGTGGTGGATCTTTTATCTGACGTTTAGTCGGATTGCTTACGCATTTAACGATGTTATCATCAATTAAGGTGGTGACTGACTTGCTAGACACTCAACAGATCACGGCGGCACGATTCCCTCGAACCGGCCGTCACACATCGTCAAGTTGTCTACCCGGGTGACTACGACCAACATCAAGTCGATCGACACCGCGGAGAACGCCGCCGTCGTGCGTCGTGTCGCTTTTACTATAACATACAGGCTTCAATACAGCCCATAGAGTAATATAGAGAGGCCGTTTCCCTATACTGCCTGTATGACAGGTTGAAGCGCAGTTGGCCTCCCTTTTGCAGGGTTTCCATTTACAAAGAACAAAAAAATGTACAACTAAAACTTAAAGTCAACCTGTTTGACATAACTATTAAGTGATAACTGAATAACTGATAATGTTTATCGTTATTTATTTACGGTTTACTTGATTAAATGATTACCACTTGTTAATTGTTTTACGTTTAGTAAATTGTTTATTATTTACCCACTTGAGCTAGTACGTACTACGTCCTAATTTGTATTATTTTGTTTAATTTCAATTGTTTTTATTGAAAAATGCCGAGCTGTTTTTGTTGTAATAGATCGAGAAATGCAAAATCCAAAAGTGCTAATATCTCTTTTCATAAGTAAGTATCATGAATAACAACCGTTATATTTTGAATATTATTTGTGTTTGATCATCTTTATTAATATGTATTTTATTTATATATAAATGTCTTTTGCATTCATATAATTATCATTTATTTTTACTTAGGTTTCCAGCTAAAGAAAATATTAGAGTAAAATGGTTGAATTTCATAAATGAAAATGGTTTGAATACAAATGATATCACTAAGAACAGTTTAATTTGTTCTGCTCATTTTGATTTAGCTAGTTTTACTTGTAATGAAAATCAAAACATGAGGATTCTAAAAAAAACTGCTGTTCCAACATGTATTGTTGAAAGAGTGAAAAATGTAAGTTTTTGTTTTATTGTATATACAAAAAATGCCCAAGCATTAGATTTTTTATTTTATATTAATTATTATTGCATTTTAGCCTAAAAATGTTTATCCAGAATTAGTAAAACCTCTCCTGCCAAGTTTTTCAAACTCTGATGTGTCTAGTACAAGTAACAACTGTATTGTGTTTGAAAGGACTGAAGTCAAGGTGAATAACCTATTTTAACTAATTACACATATTTATGCATTTTTGTTTTTAACTTCAAATAATTATAATAACTTTTTCTATTTTAGTCATCTTATGTGTATGAATTAAATACAGAAGAAGACATGGATATTTCATTGATATCCGTTGGTCAAGGCTTACAAAAAAGTGAAAATATACATGAACAGGTACCTAATTGGGTGCTATTTTATTATTTATTAATAATTTTATAGATAATTTTGTATTCTTGTTATATTTTAGGAATTGGCTGGTTGTAATAATAGTGCAAACGATGAAGATGAGATAGCATCATTGTTGCCAGTTGATTCTTCTTCCACTTCACCATCCATAAACATAGAAAGCACTTCTGATAAATTCAGTATTAAAAAACCTTGTGTAAGTATGACTATTTAAATTAAATGGTATAAAATTATATTTGTTGTTTGTTTATTATGCATTCGAAGTACCTGCATGATTTTAAACTCATTATTTTTAATTTAGATGAACTCCAAACATGAAATATCACTAATGGATGCTAGCAAGTTCCATGCATCAGATACTCCACGTCGTCGCTTCCTAAAACGAGGAATTCAGGCACTAAAGGGTGAACTTAAAATTAAAGATATGAAGATTAAAAATGTACAACAAACTGTTAGAAGACAGAAAAAGAAAATTGCATCAATGAAAACGATCATCACCAAATTGCAGAATGAGAACCTCATAAATGAAGATGTTGGCTTCACATTGTTGGAATCTTTTGGTAATAAACAAGATTTAATCATTAATTGGGCTAAAAAAAATATGGGTAAGAAAGTTCCTAAAAAATATAGCCCATCTGTTAGGCAATTCGCTTTATCGTTGCACTTTTTCTCTGTTAGAGCATATGAATATGTTCGACAACAATTTAATACTATACTACCACACCAGCGTACTCTTAGCAAATGGTATGCTAATGTTAATGCTAATCCAGGGTTTACACAAGAATCCCTTAAATCATTAACACTCAAAGTAAAAAATTCCACTAATCCGGTTTATTGTGCCCTGATGATGGATGAGATGGCTATTCGCCAACATCTTCAATATGATAGCTGTACTGGAACATACTACGGCCGTGTAGATTTAGGCAATGGAATGACCAATGATAGCCTCGATATAGCCAAAGAATGCTTTGTACTTATGGTTGTTTCTGTGACTGAAAATTGGAAGCTACCAATTGGATACTTTTTGGTTAGTAATCTTAATAGTTCCCAAAAATCTGAATTAATTAAACATGCTTTAACACTCTTACAACCAACTGGTATAACAATAATAAGTTTAACGTTTGATGGATGTGCAACCAACTTAACTACTGCAAAACTTTTGGGTTGTGATTTTAATATTAATACCTACCGCACGTCTTTTGTTTTTGATAACAACGAAATAGTGACATTTGTGGATCCTGCCCATATGATTAAGTTAGTGAGAAATGCTTTTGGAGAGAAAAAACAATTTATGGATGAAGAAGATAATATGATTGATTTTGAGTATATATTAAAATTATTTTGTTTGCAAGAGAAAGAGGGCTGTCATTTAGCAAATAAATTAAGAAAAGAACATATTTTTTTCTGCAAGCAAAAGATGAAAGTTAAGCTTGCATCACAATTGCTTAGCCAGTCTGTTGCCGATGCTTTGAGATTTTGTATGGATAATTTGAAGATGGATGAGTTTTCTGAAGCTGGCGCCACAATTAAATTCATAGAAATGTTTAATATTGCATTCGATATACTAAATTCACGCTCGATTCATTGTATAGGTTATAAAAAAGCATTGTGTAGAGAGAATGTGAATGTTATATCCATATTTAAAGACAAATTCACCAATTACATAAAAGGTCTTAAGGTAAAAGAAATTGATGGATTTGTACCTGTTTTAGATTCCAAAAGAAAAACGGGGTTTATAGGATTTATTGGAGGATTACATAGTGTTTTAAAATTGTATGACAATCTTGTAGACTCAGGCAAATTAGAACACTTAAAGTTGTACAAATGTAGTCAGGATCATATTGAATTGTTTTTTGGCACAGTAAGAGCATCAGGAGGTCATAATAATAATCCAACAGCACAACAGTTTCGAGCCGCATATAGAAAATTAGTGATTAGAGTTAATGATGTTCAAAGCTTTAATACCGGCAATTGTATACCTCTTGAGGATATTGATATCTTACATTATTCTAGTATAGATCCTATTAAAGTACTGAATAATAATTCTATAGGTATTAGTTCAGACACGGTTATTGATGAGGTAAATGTTCAAAATATAAATTCATTAATCATGGACCACGATTATATTGGTAACAATTCTGAACATTCATCAAGCCAGTTTGCAAAAGAAATTATAATTTATATAGCCGGTTTTGTAGTTTACAAACTTACCAATTCACTTAAATGTGAAGAATGTAAACTTGGATTAGTGGCTGTGGAAAAGGATTGTTTTTTGAACTCATTAATTACTTTAAAGAATAGAGGAGGTGAAAAAGGAGGATTAATGTACCCCAGTGAAGATGTCATTTCAATTTGTTTTAAAACTGAACATTTTTTAAAAAGTTACAATTATAAACAAAAAGCAATCAATAGATTAGAAATCCAATCAAAAGTTTTGGCACATTATTTGTTCAGTTCAACAATATTTAAGTCTTTAATAACCCATAGTCAAGAAACACGCAGCCCTTTATCAGACCATTGTACTCTTTTAATAAAATCAATTGCAACTACCTACATAAATTTAAAAATTAATTACATTGTAAAAAAACATAATGAAACACCATCCCTTAGACAATGGTACAATAAACTTACCCTGTTTAGAGGTCAATGAATTTAAATGTTTTATAGTTGTTATCATTTATATTAAAGTAATACATTAAAAAAAAATTGTTTGTTGTAGTTTTAAATTTTGATATGTATGTTAAGTATTAAATATAAATAACTAATTGTATAATATTGTTGTATTTTAATTAAAGGTAAAGAATCGTAATAAATCAAAAAATCTGATGACGTTCAACAGATGACAGATGACATATGTCTTATTTCTACGCTGTTAATTAACAATATTTGGTAAACAAAAGTATTTAAAAAAAAAATATGCTTAGACAATTGTGTGAGTATGGATATTTCAAGTCAAGTATGTATTTAGTAGTAAGTAAGGTATTTTCTTTTTTAGACCTAGAGTTTAAACTTGTACTTTTGTTTATAATTTCATAACTTTTCACTACATTTCAGATATAAATAACAGTTAATTTTGTTTAATCTTCATTTATTTTAGGTTCTGCCATAATTAGATTAGATTTGATTAATATGCATATGCATATAATATGTATTGTAATAAGCTTTTTGAAAATATTTGTACCCGATTTAGATCATTCTTCTTAAAATAACACTGATTGTATTTTGCATATTTTGCATGATTCCAAGTGTTTGACAGAAACCGATCAGGGAATATAGATTGAAGATATAGAATGTTAAATGGCAAAGAACTTAGTGAAGACGACAAAATACTTTTTTATACCTTTTTTAATACTTATTTTTTAGGTATAAATCTAATTTTATGGACACCCTTTTTTAAAATTTTTTTTTTTTTTTAATTTCGTGTTTTTCATGCTAAAATCAAAAGTGTTTGAAAATATTTGTGGAAACTTACTGTTCAAAAGTTATAGCAATTCAAAATTGTCGATAATACAAAATATGCTAATTAACTAATTTTCACCTGATGTCCGGGCTAACGAGTGACCATGCTGGCAGTAAGTGTACTTAGAAAACAATATTGATGAAAAAAAGGGTGTCCGGTAAAATAGATTTGTTCCATTTTTTACATGATTTATTATGTTTGTAACTATTAATTAATATTTAATATCATCGAAGACTCCCTTCTTGACAAAAAAAAGTGAAAAAATACATCTAAGAAACTTTAGGTATACTTAAAATTGTGTTACATTATATAATATGAATTAAGTTTAAATTTAAAATAAATAATTAAATTATTTTTATTATTATTATTGTTATTTTATTATTTGTGAAAACCTGTCAATTTATATTTGATTACATACATTATTACATGGTTCATCTACTCATTAAACCCTAAGATTGTTATGAGTAGGGTTCAAGCAGAACAAAATATAAATATTAACTAGCATGAGTATGCACTGAAAACTTAATATATTAAATGTTTTCTTATACTATCCAAATTAGACAGACAATTATCATTAAAAGTATATTTGGTAGTCTATTACTAGGGTATAGGCCAGTGGTGGCTACGGGGGGGGAGGGGCGTTTTCCCTTCCCATTGGGCTGTCTTTTTAACGTTATCTTTTATTATTATATTAGGCTTAGCCAAAAGGTTATTCAATTTTTGAAAATTCACTCCCTTGGGTGATCCGATAGTGGTATAGGTCTTAGTTTGAATAATACAAATTTTAAATTCGAATTCGAATTCTTAAAACCTTTAATGTATTAATATGTATACTAAATGCGCTTCCCCAAAAAGGTAACTCATTACTTAAAATGGATCTAACCATACAAACAAAATTTATAACTTATAACTAATTTTGTCAACAAAATATTAAGTATATTTTCAGTGTTACCCGGACAATACATGAACAATATGTTACATGTTTGATATGGCTAACCTGTAAAAGGGAGTCTAACTGCGCTTCAACTATTTTATTGAACGGCCTCTCTATATTACTCTATGATACAGCCCCCCTCAAATGATTTTATTTTATTATTTTATTTATTATTATTATTATTTTATTTTTTTATTTTATTTTATTATTTTATTATTTTTTTTTTTTTTCTTCTTTATTATTGCGTTTTCGGTAACAGTAATGAACGTGCCCCCGCCTTCGCACATTGTCCGCTATCCGACGGGGTCGGATTGACTACCGGATAACATAGATGACTGACCTGCTAGACACCCAAAAAAAGGCGGTGGCTATATGATATGCATGGACGCCCGAAATATTTCTTCTTTATTTTTGCGTTTTCGGTAACAGTAATGAACGTGATGACGTTCATCAGCCGTCGCACATTATCCGCTATCCGACGAAGTCGGATTGCCTACCAGGGTGACTACGACATACGTAGAGGAAGGTGACTGACCTGCTAGACTCCAAAACATATTTTCACGTAAATTATACACCCAATCCTCGAACCGGCCGTCACACGTCGTCACGTTGTCTACCAGGTGACTACGTCTCACATCGATTCGGATTGCCTACCAGGGTGACTACGACCTACGTAGAGGAAGGTGACTGACCTGCTAGACCCCAAAACATATTTTCACGTGAATTATACACCCAATACAATCGAGCCGGCCGTCACACGTCGTCACGTTGTCTACCGTGACTACGTCTCACATCGAGTCGGATTGCCTACCCGGATAACAACTTTTTTTCACGTAATTTATTCTTTAATTTTGCATTTTCGTTAACAGTAATGGACGCTGTGATACTTGATGACGTTCATCAGCAATCGCATATTTACCAAGGTGACTACGACCAACGTAGAGGAAGGTGACTGACCTGCTAGACCCCAAAACATGTTTTCACATAAATTATATAACCGATGCATCGAATCGGTTGTCACGTTGTCTACCCGGGTGACTACGTCCAACATCGAGGAAGGTGACTGACATGCTAGACCCCCAAGAAAAGACTTTGACAGGTATCCGGTTAACTAAACCACTATCCTTATCACGAATCCTCCATCCTTATCACACATCCACTTTTCTTATCACAAATCCAATATCCTTATCATAAATTGTTATCACAAATCCACCATGCTTATCACTTATCTACAATCCTTATCAATTATCCACTATCCTTATCACAAATCCAGTTTCCTCATCACTAATTTATACCACAAATCCTTATCACTAGACCTTCATACCACCCATTAACCGTCCAGATCGAGACTGGCGACTGGCGACGGCGGCTATATGATTTGCATGGACGTCCGAAATTTTTTAAATACTTTTCAAGTAATTTATTACTTTTTTTGCTTTTTCGGTAACAGTAATGAACGTCGTCCGCGATTCGACGCAGTCGGATTGCATACGTGATGACTTTCCCCAGCCGTCGAGTATTGTCGGATTGCCTTCCAGGGTGACTACGACCAAAGTCGAGGAAGGTGACTGACCCGCTAGACCCCAAATACTATTACTACGGCGAACGTCATTCGAGGTGACTGACCTGCTAGATACCCACAAAAATACAACGACGATTTATAATTTTTTTACGGAATTTTGAATTTCCGGCGGCAGTAAAGAACGTTGTCGTCGAACGTTGTTGCTTACCGGGGGGGCTACCACGCCAAACCACGGTGGACCTAACCTTATCAGAGTTCCTTATCACACACCGACCAGCTCGAGACTGACGACCAGACCAACAGACAACTGCAGCTTCCGAAATCGAAAACACTCATGACCGACACCCGGGGGTCTGGGGGTGTCCCCCAGCGACGCTCGGAGAGCTAGTCTTATACTATAAAACGTGAACCCGAGGGCGCAGCTTATGGAGTAATTCCGAACTAGCGTAAGGGAGAGCCAATGAGAAAATTAGATTTCTATCCGCGGGCGGTCTCCCGGCGGCGGCGGAGCCGTCGCTGCGTTATCACTCCTCTTATCACTTTTTGCCGTTTTTTTTCGAAAATCAAAGAAATTTCGAAAAAAAACGAGTTTTACCCCCCCGGGGGGCCTCGGGCGGCCCCGTTCGGACCTTATTCGCGTTCCTCGGTAAATTTATAGTCGGCGAGCGGCCCTACTTTTTTCCCGGCGGGCCCGCGGCGGCGGATGTCGAGTGCGATACGAGCGCCGCCGTCGCGCGCGTTTTTTGCATTTTTTTTCGAAAATTCGAGTTTTAGGCGTTTTGGGGATTATCGACCTCCCCGTTTGGATCTTATTCGCGTTCCCCGCTAAATTTAACGTCGAAACGTGGCCCTACTTTTTCAAAAACGAGTGCCCCGGCGGACGTATCGATCGCCGAGGGCGCCGCGTCGTCGCCGTTTCGACGGTTTTCTCGACTTTTTCGACTAGAGTCGAGTGTAGCAACTCTACGAGACGTCCGACCTCCCCGCCGGCGACGTATTCGAGTTCCTCGCTAAATTTATAGCCGGCGAGGGTACCTACTTTTTCAAAAACGAGTCCCGGGGAGGAGCGACGTCGCTTAAACGAGAGTAGGTACCGATGGGGTATCGAGTAGGTACCGCTATATACGGGCATAAATACGTGCGTCTCGAGGTTCGATTTTTTTCGCAAAGCTCGGGTATTATACGTCCGAGGGCGGCGAAGCCGGTCGTCCGCTCGCCGACGCTGTCGGATCGCCCGCTCAAACGCCCTTTGACGGCTTTCCAAACGGCGTTCGCCTTTCGCGAGCACGGGGACGCGGCTTAAGAGTCATAGAATTGACTCCGGTTTTCATCTGAGTAGGTGGCTAGGTTGGTTAGGCGTTAGGATAGGTGACTCGAGGGTCGTGGGTTCGAACCCGGCCGCCGGGATATTCGATAATTTGCGGCGCCCGTGATATTTCGGATTTCTTTTTTTTGCGTTTTTTTTTTTTGGTCACATTAATCATTTTTAACGAGTGTTCCGATTTTTTTCAAAATTCGCGTTATTATATTATATATATCGGTATTTATATATATTATTATTCGTTTGACTATATTTATTTTGCAAAAAAATAATAATTAACATTTAATTAATATTTGATTTTACCGTGACCAACCTACAATATAATATTATAATGTAGTACCTACTTGATATATTAAATACTGCTACAGATTATAAATACTGTTTAATACAATATTAATAAACTATATTAAAAA